ATAATTTTACCATAATTTTATTATTAAAAAAATAATCATTTCCAAAAATAAATAAAATACAGTAAGACCTTGATTATTTCCAATTTTTTTATTTTAAAAACCTTGACACTTTCCAAATTGAAGATTTTGAATTTTTTAGTAAATTGTTATATCAGCTAATAATTTAAATTAACTAACTTTAGATTACCTCGCATTTTTCCAAAAAAACTTCAAACAACCAATCAAATCTTTGTAATTGTCGAGGTTTTGAAATTGTCAAGGGTTGGAAATATTCGAGGTCTTACTGTAGTGAAACAAACACTAAAGAACATGCAATTTTATTTTAAATTAATGGTTTGAATCAATTAATTTATTTCTTTTTTATTTGACAATTTGAGTCACATTTTTATGGCATTTCTACCTTTTAGACCCAAAATTCTCAATATTTTGAGTATAAATAATTAATACAAAAATCTTTTTGTTTATAACGAATGATTTCAAATAAGTTCGATGGATAAAAAGGATTGGGAAATATTTTCAAATGGTGTTTTTTTAAATGAAATTATATGTTCAATATCAAATCTTCTAAAAAATTTAATTCAATGACACGTTAATGCCTTTTGGTTGGTAATATCAATGAGATATACGTTTGTTGATGCATATCATGAGGTGATAGCTCGGGAAATATGTTTTTTGTATTATGTTTGTGTGGGTGTTTCCAAAATATTACCACCTAAAGAAAAAAGCCAAAGCCATTGGTTTATAAATATCTTAAAAAGTTGAACCCCATTCCCGAAGTAATTAATTGATTTCATGACGAAAAACTATAGAAATAAATAGTTAAAGTTGTAGAAACTGCTCGAGAAGAGGTAAGAAAATGATGGCAATATTAATTTAAGAACAAAATATGAAAAGGATATTTAATGAAATAAAGATGAAAAATCTAAAGGGACACAAGTCGCCTTTTATGATACGGAAATGAAGTATCATAATGAAAATAAAGAAAGGGTAACATAAAAAAATAAATAAATGTAGCTGCTCTGATTATTATAATTCATCTCATTTTTTAGATACAGATTGAATGTTCAGAAGAGGAAAAAATGACAAAAAAACAAACGTGCAATTAAAACATTGGATAATATAAACTTTATGAATATACTACCTGAGACTTAAAAAAGTCCAAGATTCGTATGCAGATGAATCTGAAACCCGACTAAGTTAAGGGGTTTCGACGAAATGAATCCAACTGAAGATTGGCAAATGCTTGAGATGCAGCTCAAGCACTGCTATATGATATGTTGGGTGAAAGGTTACAAAAAGCTGTTCTGTATGTTTTATTTTCATTATACTCATTAAATCATTCCAGTGATATGTTACATACAAGAAATATGTACAATAGACTCCTTATATTTTGTTTATAAATTATGAATAGAGTCAGTCCGTAAACGTTGTACACTCCCCAAACATTGTTTTTAGTGTTATATTTTTAGAACCATAAAAAGTTCTTACAATAAATGAAACAATCGACAAAAAATAACAATGTTTACCATTTTAACTTAATTTTTAAGTAATTTCCGCTTTAAAACAATTTCAAAAAGAGTAAAAAAAGAAATTATTGGATAAGAGCAACTCTAAAACTAAAAAACGTCAACCCTATTAAACCCACGTTTTAATAATTTAACTGTATTATTTATCTTCCTTTTATTTGCAAACAAAATGATATGTGTAAAAAAATAAAAAACAAAAAATGGATGAGTAAATAAAATAAAAAAATGCCAATTATCAACACAAGCAAGACATAATTTTTATTCTGAATAATTTATAAACTTTTCGAACAACAAAGAGAGCCAAAATATGGCATAAAGTATAATTAATATTATGTTTGAACATATCAGAGATTCTGGTAATGTTCAATTTAATGTCATCAACTCGACAAAATAAATGAATCAATTCAAAGTTTTCTTGTAATCAAACATTACAAGAAAGCTTTCATTAACATTTTTTTTGTCTAGTTGATGACATTAAACAAACGATTAAATAATTTTTTAATTTTCAAAATTACAACAACAGAAAAAAGAACACAAACACATAATTATACTAAATTATAATTAAAGTGTTCGGCCTTTATTATAATTACTTGAGTTGAGTGTTTTTTGGAAGCACTCGGGTCTTGTAATTACATATATAAATATTAGAACATTATCTCAGTGATAATTAATATAAGAAAAAACCAACAATACAAGTATTAATACAAAACATTTTAATAAAATTGAATTTATTATGTATAAAACTATTAAATGGTTTAGTGATTAGAATGACGACACTAAAAACCACAATTTAGTGATAAAAACCCGATCACAAATTATTGATTTGGTTCTTTAATATATTAAAATATCTTTATTAAAGAAAAAGTTACTTCGATATGTGACTTAAATCGCTTTAAAAAAAATCGAATTATATTGTACATAATAGTTTCTTTTTTTGATTGGTTGATTATCATTTTTGTTTACCAAAAACATTTTAAAAGTGATTATAAATAACAACGTATTTTACAAAAACATTACAGTTACCTTATTATAAAATAAATAAACTCAAATTTAAACATTATGCCAAGGAGACAAACACATCAAACTGAGCCACATGGAATTGTTGAACAAGAAATAGAAGATGAAGAGGCGGAAACACAAGCTGTAATCCAAACTCCTGAACACGATCACTTTCAAGACAAAGATTTTTTTTACGAATATTTACTCGAACGTTATGATGGATTTGAAAGTCTTTTTGAGTTTTTGAAACTTAAGCCACTTGTTTTCCTTGCATTACATTCAGTTGTTGGAAATATATATCTAGATAAAAGAGGACGCAAATCATTTTTCAACAACCCCAACGACAGACTTCTTTTGTTATACTTATTTTGTCGATATAACAATTTGAAAATGATAAGAGATATGTGTATCCCATATATCAGAACTAACGAACAAATAAGCAGAGAAATCGATTTAAATGCTTCTTTATTTAGAGTACCACTTCAAAATGCATGTATAGCATTCAGAAACGAAAATTTGTTAAATACTGGTGTAAGTTCAATTGTTGATTGTAAAGTGACACCAACAAGACGTCCAAATGGCGATTTTGCTTCAGCTATGGGGTTTTATAGTGGAAAATACAAAATGTATTGTGTTAAAGTCGAAGTGATTGTGAATGCAGAAAGTGGCACTGCAAGTTTTGTTTCAAAAGCAGTTCAGGGTGCAGATCATGATATGACTATTTTAAAAAACACATCTGAAACAATCAATAATATGTTGGGAACAACAAAAATAATAGGTGATAAGGAATATAAAGGATTTGATTTATACATACCAACTGGTTCAGTTTCAAAAGAAAGTCCTTTAAAAGAGAAAAGGTGTTTGATTGAAAGATATTTTGGTCGACTTAAAATGGTGTTTAAATTTACAAGAGAAAAATATTTAAAAGACCTTGTTTCTTTTGACAACCTCTTTGTTATAAGTTGTTGCTTTTGCAATGAAGACATTGAAATTAATCTCCTTGAAAATCAAGATGCAACAAACTATATGAATATAATGACCAATTATTTAAATAAAATTGAAAAAAGAAGAGAAGCACATAAGAAAAGTAGTTTATTATACAGAAGACGACAAAGGGAACAATTTGATGTTTTAGAAAAAGAACTTAGATTAATACAAGAAGAAGAAAGTCAAAATTCAGACGAAACAGAAATTGAACACTTTGATTAGAACAAATTTGTTTATTTGTTTTTAATAAAAATAAAAAAATAATTTTTGTTTATATAATATGTTTGAAAAAGGCTAAACTTCTGGGCATAAAACGTGATCTCACTAGAGCACTAAAAAACAAACAAAAATCGATAAAGTCGAAGTTTTATCATTATGATTGGGACTTGTATTATATTTCCCGAAAATTGAGAATAACCACAACTAGATTACTTTTTAAACGATTTTAACATAAAAACTATAACATAATGATAAAAATCGCATTTT